AGGATTGTAGGAATGGAGAGCAACAACATTCCAGCTTATGGAGGGGCATCCGTAAGGCATTCGCACTGATGCAACAAAACCACAGTTTGGAGCGTTAGAGATGGAAGGACGACCGACTTCTGGAATCATCCTTGGATCGATCATGAAACAATACTGGGAGCAAAGTAGTTAAAATCGGGATTTTACCTAAAATCGAACACTGGGGTAAAATCGGAATCGTAGAATCGTACGATTTTAAGTACCATATAGAAATTAACATATGATAATATTAATAAGGTAAATAATTAATAACACAAAGACTTATAAAATTTAAAGTGATAATTTTCAAGATTAATGTTCCAAAATCATCATTTTAATTGTTATTTAATGTGTAACTAAAAATAATTTACGAGGAAGGGATAGAGCTCATGGGGTTTGGCTCTTGTTTTTCATGTTGTGTCTAGGTAGTTTAACTCAAAGCTGTATTCCGACATCGTCTACTAAGCATGATTTAAAACTAAGAATAACTGAAATCCAATAAAATAATTAATGTCATTGGTTTGGTACAAATATATTCAATAATAATAATTTGTTAAATAATGATGTTAATTCTTACGCACTAACAATATTGTGATAATTGTTTTACCGATGAGTTAGAAAAGGAGAAGGGAAGGGGGTTGACCGAACCCTAATTAGTTATTTTCCCTTCTTTTCAAATGTTTTTTTAATAGGAAAAATATATGAGAAGATCCCCGTCATTGCCCTTTCCACCGAAACAATTCTGCTTCTTTTGAATTGGCTCAAGCTCCCTATTTTGTTCACATAGGATCAAAATCCCGATTTTGGTACGATTTTACGATTTTAACTATCTTAATCCCGATTTGAACGATTTTAAGGTCCATCGATTTTATAGTAAAATCAGGATCGAAATCCCTAAGTAAAATCCTAAAATCCTACGATTTTACGATAAAAATCCCGATTTTGACTGCATTGACTGGGAGAGTACTGCCTCAGAGCCTAGAGGAGGAATAGTTCATGACTGTTGCTGATATGGTTGATGACCAAAGTGAGTGGGACTGGAGGCGTCTGCATTCTCTCTTGCCCAATTATCTCCTTTGCTGTATTGCAGGAGTGGAGACACCAGCTCAAGACTTTGGAGAAGACACTACGATCTGGGGCCTTGAAAGGGATGGCAAGTTCAAATTCAAATAAGTCTACCTCTTCGGTGCTAACGAGATTGGGAATGAACCTCTACCAGGATGGAAAGAACTCTAGAAGTGGAAGGGACCAAGTAGAGTGAAGCACTTCCTCTAGCTTGTCATGCACAACAGACTTCTCACCAACCATGAAAGAGCAACTAGAAACATGACATCTAATGCAAACTGTAAAGCTTGTGATGGAGAAATTGAAACAATAGAACATATACTCAGGCATTGCATGAAGATAGAAGGAGTTAGGTGATTCTTGAAGATTGACCATCAACCACAAGACTTGAGAAACTTCAATCAATGGATGATGGACAATCTCAAAGAAGAGAAAGGAGGATTCAGATTTCGTATTGCTTGCTGGCTGATCTGAAGAGGTGATGGATGGGAAGAGATACTCTGAAGCTGCCCTTTTCAGTAGGATCTGTTTGTGGTTAGTGTCTACCAACAAGCACGAGCCAATGACGAAAGAAGCATACTGCTGCCAAGGAATCAATACATCTATTCACCCATTGCGTGGAAATCGCCTCGAGAGGGCTGGATCCAAATTCAAACTGACGGGCCAGTCATTCCAGACTCAGGAAACGCTGCTGCAGGAGGGTTAATCTGTGACCACCTTGGACACTGCATGTATGCCTTTGTTTGCAATATGGGACACTGCACGATCACCATGGCAGAGTTGAAAGGGGCTGAGATTGACATCTATCGAGCTTGGGAGAAGGGATTCCGTAACGTGGAACTCAAGCTGGATTCATCAACATCCATTAGCATCATGAAGAACCATTTGGACAAGGACCATCGACATGACCTTTTGCTGCTCGGATTGGAAATACCTTTGATTTTGATTCCCATGATTATAGAGAGGGAAATTTTGCAGCCGATTACTTGACGAGTAAGGGCCACGATGCCCCTTTTGGTACACATCCCTTAAATGTGTACGACCTGACTTTGTGTAATTGGCTTTTGTATGACTTTATGGCTTTGAAAATGAAGGTTTTGATAAAACTTAGGTTTTTGTAAAATCATGGATATACGAGGGTTTTGGGTTCATCATGAACTTGAAAAATACCATTGTTTGTTACATAGATTTCATGAGGGAATTGGTTAATTAGATTTGTATGTGTGAAGTGAAATTTACCTTTATTGCGCTCATTGGTATGAGAAGAGAAATGAAATAGGAGGGTTAGTTTGGTCTTAAATGATGGATTTCAAAGTCCATAATCAATTTCCACCTAAATAGGTAGAACTTTCAAGTCCGTGGGGTCCACAGATTTGGACCCTTAAAGTATGTGGGAGCCATGGATTTGTTGCCCCTAAAAGTATGAAGCAAACAATGGCTAAATTACATGTTTGGTCACTCAAAATATACAAATCTTTCACGTTTGCCACCCGAATGACTTTTCTTTCTTATTTGCCACTAACTTTACGAATCGTTTCACCATTAGCACCGGCCGTTACACTCCGTTAAATTTGTCCTACGTGGCAGTCAACTATAAAGTTTGACAGTTAACTTGATGATGTGGAAATTTAAAATAAAAAAAAAATAATTATTTTTTCACCTCACCATTCCACTTACTCTGTCTATAATTGATTATATTAATAAAAATTACTGATTTTTTTATAAATTACTAAATGAATTATCAGTGGGAGGAAGAAATTTATATAATCAACCAGTGCAATAGGATCGAAAATTATCCTGCATCCCCATAGCCTTTTAAATTACTTTTTTTTAGAATCCTTTTAAATTAGTTCGTGATACATAACTTAAACAGAAGAACAAGTCCACCCCCCAAAAATCATATACCTAATCTCATAGTTCGCCGACCTCAGCACCTTGCTCACGAACCGCAGCCTGGCTCCGTCGATGCCGTAGTTTAGATTGGTGCGCACGTTTAGCCCATCGAGCTGCGCGTAAAAGTAGCCAAGCTCGTCGGCCTGGTAGCTCCGGTCATGCCTGGAAATCACTGATGCCGTGATGGAAGCTTCGCCAAGAACTGTAGGTCGTTGAAGAAGCTGTCCTGTGGATCTTGCAACTTCGACGCCAAAGGTATAAACAACATCCTTAACAACTCTGCATCTCTAGAAGAACTGCCCGTGAAGAGGTTCCACAGAAGAACCCAACAGTGGAGAAAAGCGTTGGATGGGAGCCCGAAGAACCCAGCAGTAGCGCCGCCAGGAGGGACCGCCGCACTCCGATTGTCAACGAAGAAGCTGGATAAGAGGGTAAGGATTTTGATGGCGCTGACGAAAGTCATGGCAGACGAATAGGAGGAGTGGGGAAGGAGTTCGCTGGATGGGAACCCGAAGAACCCAGCAGCAGCGCCGCCGGGAGGGATCACCCGAAGCTCTAATCAAATAGATAACAGGAATGATGAATTCGAACATGGAAGAAATTCAAGAACAGAATTAACACAAACCTGAGTGCCACATTGGCCTTTAACGCAAGCTTCGACGGATATTTCGCCATCACGACTGCGCATCAGCTCTTTCAAGCCATTAATCTCGGTCTCTTTGAGAGGACTAAACCGTAGCCACAGTTAGAGGAGGCCGTTCATTTTTTTAATTTAATTATTTTTTATTAAATAATTAATATCATAAATCATATAGATAAAATAAATGCAATGATGAGGTGGAAATATATATGCAATTTTTTTAATTTTAATTTCCACGTCATTTAGTTAACAGTCAAACTTTATAGTTGACTGCCACGTAGGAAAAACTTAACGGAGTGTAATGACCGATGTTAATGGTGAAACGATTCGTAAAGTTAGTGACGAATAAGAAAGAAAAGTAATTTGGGTAGCAAACGTGAAAAATTTGTATAATTTGAGTGACCAAGCGTGTAATTTAGCCAGCAAACCCTTTTCCTGAATCGCTATTCGTCGCCCTAAAATTTAAATTTATCGCCCTAAAATGTACCAAATCGACACTCTTACCCTCCGGTCCCATTTTAACCAAAACAAACAATCCCTTACCTTGCCCAACCCGCCGAGCTCCTCTGTCCTGCGGGCGCTGCTGTCATCGGATTCTTCTCTCATCAGCCGTCCAATTCCGCCCGATCGTCATCGGTTCTCTGCTTCTATTGTCGGACGATCCCAAGCAGCAACGCAGCAGGAAGAAGACTATATATGAAGGACTAAATTCCAAAAATGACAAAAATATAAGTAGGAACATGTTTCTCAAGTTCCCTTGCACGTGCTTCTTCTTCTAATGATGGTGATGATTCTGAACTCGACAATTATTGGAATAATTCTAGGTCGAAAAGTAATTAAGAATTTTTGGAATAATTGAAAGCAAGGGAGAAAGGGTAAACGGAGGCGGAAGAAGGAGGTCGCCGTCCCTCAGTCCTACTGCTGAGAATTCTTCTCTCCTGGCCACTGCCCACCTCAACCCGACCACCGCCGCTTCCCTACTGCTGTTGCCGGATTCTACTATTGGTACCAAGTAGAGGAAGGACACGGAGGTTTTAGGGTTAGTTTTTTTCTCTGTTTTCAGACATGTTGAAACTCTGTCTCCGTCGAGCTTGGGAAGGGTTCCTGATCTGTCTCAACGATAAGAAAGAGAGAAGAGACTCGGTTGAAGGCAATAAGGAGGAAAAAGAAGGCAAGGATATTTGAGTCATTTTAATAAAATTTAGGGCGACGATAAGGTGTTTTAGGACGACGAATAACAATGCCCTATATTTTCTGAACAAACTCCATGATGGATCCAAATTCATAACCAAATCCATCAAGCAAACAACTCGTAAGAGGCTTTGACGTCCGTCTTCCTATACAAAAAGAAGACACTTGTACGCGGTTAGAAATAGACGAATAGCTCTCTCGTACGCAGTCGCTCCCCGTCTCAATCGCTAACAGTGCTTCGTATTGGCAAAATCTTCGAAATCCTCCCCATCGTGACCCCATTCTCCTGCATTTCGCCTCATCCTAGCCAGAAGCCCTAGGAAAGCTTTTGCTTGCCTTCCAGTTCTTCCTCAATGCCTAAGTTATCTCCAACTGTCCCGAACCAGATTCGGTTCTTGCTTCAGAGCTTGCACGGAACGAACGTCGATTTTGTTGTCCGGGAGCTACGTCAGGTACTTCCCTGTGCTCCCCCAGCCTCACTTCTGCTCTCAAGTCCTCTCCCGAGTCCTAAATCCTGCACTCATCCTTGATTCGCTGTGCAATTCGTACATATGCAAACCCTATAGTTTCCTTTTTCCAATTCCTGCTAGTTGTTTACCGAGTTTATTTATTGTCGGCTAAGATCGATATCAGTCGTGGGTTATTTTAACGTGGCGAAGTTGCAGAGATTGATAAGCTTCTCGGAATTGTTTTTGTCCCTTTCGGTTCAGTGAGCACAATGGTTTAGTTATAATTCTTGCACGTTGTTATGGTAATGGAGGGTTCATCTGACCTTCACAATGGATGGAAGTCACTCTTTGTACGTTTTGGATCTATTCTTTCATCTTGGGGCTTTTGGCATGGAACTTCGATTCATTCTTGAACTTATTTAATTAAAATCCTTTTTTCCCTGTTCCTGGTGACATGTTGATGTTAACCGAATGGTTAGTTAGGGCAGTTTCACTCATTAGGGAAATACTTTCAGGGCTTTGTTCTTCTGACTAATTTGCTCTCCTATGATTTCTTTTGTGGCAGTTCTGTGATTATGGTGTCGAAGGAAGCATTCTGCTGCTTCAGATCTGCTTGGAACATCTTTACTTCCGCAGGACTGATCTGCAGAACATCCATGTTGAACCAGTTCTTGAGTCCATTTTCAAGTTTCTGATGGACTCACCAAATTTCTCTACAGTGTTTTGTCAGTCTGTACCTAGTGTAGAAAATTGTGAGGAACTGCTGGAGACTCTCTCTAGTACGCTGCACCTAACTCTACATGAAAAGATTGGAGTTGGCCTTGCTTTGTCTGATTCAGATAATCTTGATACTAGGATGCACGGTGCGTAAGCTTTGAAGTACCTGTTATATAGACTTCCTTTTCCTTTCACAAATTTAAGTCCTGTTATAGTGTCGCATGACTCTAAACATCTTTGCTTTGCAGCAAAAAAGTTCTGCATCTCTCTGATTGAGGAACTCTGCTCGGATCCTGTTTCTATAGCCTCTACAGAGCACATCCAGAATATTGTTATGTTCCTCCAGCGCTCGGAGGGCCTCTCGAAGCATGTTGATCAATTTCTGCAAATGCTATCACTGATGCAATCTAATGATGTTATACCATTTGTCTTATCTCCACTACTTTCAGAAGAATTACGTGAAGCGTACTTTTTAAGGTTCTATTTCCTATCTTTGCTTCAGTGGCACCATGTCATCTATTTTGGGCTGTACCCGTGGCTTCCTGATTCTTTTTAGCCTTTTCCTTGTTTCTTGTATTCTCTGCAGAACCATTGACTGGTTATATGAAAGCAAAGAAAGTGAGTTTGATGCAATTTTGGCTGACATGGAGAAGGAAATGAGCGTGGGGGATATTGTGAAGGAATTAGGATATGAATGCATGTCGGATGCCACTCATTGCATAGAGATATTGACCCCTTTTCAACCACTGATTGAGATTACCGTATCTAAGATTCTTGGAAAAATTGTATGCAACCAGGCTGGATTGGAGGATAACCAGAGTACATTTTCAACCTTTAGTACTGCTCTTGGCTACAATATTTCAAATGATCTAGCAACTGTGAGCTCTTGGGATGTTGGAGTCTTTGTAAGAACAATCAAGCAGCTTGTGAGTGCCTAGCTACACATGTGCTCTTAATTGGATATAAACTATAGGGGATTCTTACTTCAGTTGGTAACTTTATGATATGGATGTAGGCACCAGATACCAACTGGATTAAAGTAATTGAAGGCTTGGATCATGAGGGATTCTATATTCCAAATGAAGAGGCTTTTTCTTTCCTTATGTCCGTCTATGGTTTTGCATGCCAGGTATATTTTTCAGTGACGGGTGTATATATATGGGTATAGGTATATGTATTTGTTAGCCTATGCTTCGACCTATTCTCCTGGCGTGGTCTGATTATCCTTTACTGTTTGGTTAGGATCTATTCCCACTACATGCTATCTGTGGGTCTCCCTGGAAGAATACTGAGGGTCAGCTATCTCTTCTCAAATACGCAGTTTTAGCACCGCCTGAAGTGTTAACTTTTGCTCACTCTGGAAGGCAGCTGGTGAAGCCCTCTCTCTGTGCTACTTTTTGAATTCTTGCTGAATTATCTGGCAGGATTGTGACTTCTATTAGCTGTTTGTTGCAGGCTTATATGGATGCAGTTAACAGTCACAAGCTTCAAGTTGGATGTGCCAATCACGCATGGATGTGTCTCGACCTTTTAGAAGTTCTTTGTCAGTTAGCTGAGAAGGGTCATGCCAGCTATGTGCGAGCTTTGCTGCAATATCCTCTTGAGCATTGCCCAGAGATCTTACTTCTGGGAATGTCTCATGTCAATGTTAGCTCCTGGACTAATTCATGGTATCTTCTTTCGGTTCTGATGGTATCCCTTTTGGTTGATCAATTGTACTTGCATGCAGACTGCCTATAACCTGCTCCAATACGAGGTGTCTTTTACCGTATTCCCTGTGATCGTCAAAAGCTCCAGCTGTGCTGGCATGATCCTGTACCTATGGCATGTAAATCCTGGCCTTGTTGTTAGGGGTTTTGTGGATGTTCAAAATGCTGATCCTGAGATCATGGACAAACTTGTAGTTCTGTGTCAGGAACTAAAGGTAACTGTTTACTTTGAATCTTTAATCCTAGAGTATATTGGTTTGTAGACTTTACTTCTTATGAGAACCACATGTAAAACCTTATACTGATGAAGTTTTCACTTATTTCTTCTGTATTGCCTCTGTGTTCTTTTGAAAATGTTAAAAGGCATGCAACTTGATACCAAGTTGTTTTTGTAAATACTATTAAATAGTTCATATTCTTCTCGTATTTGGTTCTACCTTTTGTAGATTTTGATACTGATGCCCTCATTTTCTTTCTTCTCCAATTCTAGATCTTGTCATCAGTGTTGGAGTTGATTCCTTTCCAGGTTAGGCATAAGACTGGCTGCCCTAGCTTCACGAAGTGAGTTTGTGGACCTTGAGAACTGGTTGACTAGCAATTTGGAGACATTCAAGGATTCATTTTTTGAGGTAATTGATTTATTTGCAGTTACCATTGCTCCCAGTGGGTCAATACTCAGTTCTATAGATGAATTGTTTGTTCTAATTTATACTCTACGGTGTAACTCAGGAGTGTCTCAAGTTTCTAAAGGAAACTCAGCTTGGAGCTTCACATGAGTTTTCTGGAAAACCTTTTCTTCATGGGAATGCTGCTGGGAATTATGGCTTCGATACTAGTTCCACCATATTGAAGGTTCAAATCTATATAAGTTGCCTCTTGATTTGGTAGGCATATCGTGATATTGTTTAATTGAGATTTGATATTGTAGGCTCTTAAGGCTCACAGCCCCCTGATTCTCAATACCAAACTTCATGAGGAAATGGAAAAGTTGGAGGCAACAATTGTGGATTCAAATCCTAGGCTGCAGAATGGTGGTGCTGCTGAGTCATCTGCCCCTGATGGATATTCAGATGATGTTGAGGCTGAGGCAAACTCTTATTTCCATCAGATGTTCTCAGGCCAGTTGACAATAGATGCAATGGTTCAAATGCTTGCTAGATTCAAGGAATCTTCTCTGGCGAGGTATTATTCTTTTTGGCATTCTGTTAAATGCCAGTATGGAGGGTTCTGTACCACTTATGGATCCCATCTCTCTACTGGATTGACCTTCTTTAAGTAAGAGAGATGGATTTAAAGAATTCTTTGGTTGAATTGGTTATCTTCCCAAATTGAATTAAAAGATGAATTTGTGCAGTAGGCTCGAGTCTCTGAACAGGAGGTTGCCTGTTTTCCAAAAGGTGTTTTCTTGGATCATGGTGATGTCAGTTGTTTGTGAGTGCATGTACAAGGCCATTTTGTGTTTTTCTGGTTGGCTGGTGCGGGTTTCAGATTGAGATTGTGATTCTCACTCCCTAGGGATCTTCATATCTTTTTTCTTGGAAGGTTTATGTTTTGAGTTTTGCAGCCTTTTGAGTAATTTCATAGCCTTATTGTTATGGGTCTTGTAATCTGTGATAGTAATGCAACAATCATCAACAGGGAACAGTCAATTTTTGACTGCATGATTGGCAATCTATTCGAGGAGTACAGGTTCTTCCCCAAGTATCCAGAAAGGCAGCTTAGAATTGCAGCTGTTCTGTTTGGTGAGTCACTTAATATTTGTTTAGAGAGTCATGCTCTATATCTTATTCATTTTTATTGGCAAGTGGTTAGGAAGCTACTGTTGATTTGCTTTTCTGCTACATTTGGCATTTTTGCTTCAGTTAGTCTCTTACGTTTGTGCCTGCTTGGTCTCTTTATAACTTCTAAACTTTCTCAAATATTTTGATTCTGATCTCACATTATCCTTGACAGTTCCTGCATCTTTTCAAGTGTAATACATGCAGTTTGGAATACTGTTCCATCTTTGTGGTTGGGTTCTGCTATAATTCTGATCTCTGTTCGCTTTTCCATTCTAGGTTCGGTTATCAAGCACCAACTCGTTACTCATCTGACTCTCGGGATTGCCTTACGTGGTGTCCTAGATGGACTGCGGAAACCTCCAGATTCTAAAGTATGTGCCATTCTTGCCGACTCAATTTCTTTTGATACCTCGTTGTGTAGTCTGGCTCATAGAAGTGCTACCTGTAGATGTTTGTGTTCGGTACCAATGCACTGGAACAGTTTGTCGATCGTCTGATTGAGTGGCCACAGTATTGCAATCATATCTTGCAAATATCTCATCTTCGTGGAGCCCATTCAGAACTTGTTGCTTTCATTGAACGTGCTTTAGCCAGAATTTCATCTGGGCATTTGGAATCAGAAAGTGGTAATGCTTCTGCTGCTCATCAACATGTTTTACCCCAAGCTACACCTGGAATTGGTGAGGTAAGGAGTTGTTTCATCTTCCCATTATCTACGCTATATTTTATGGGGTAAGAGGCATTTTTGGATAGGTTCTGGTTATGATTTCTGTGATGGCTCCCAAATTGTTACAGTTATTACAGTCCTTGTCTTGATGTTTAAGGTCTGAGTGATTGAACTCCGAAACTGAGGTTGTAGTAATTTGATTTGCTGTGGGGGTGCCCATGGTTCATCAAGAATAATTCAGCTATTGCCACATGCATTTCATGCAATCCACTCGTGTCTCTGCTTTGATAAGCTGCTTGTAGAACTCATTGAGCTGCCTTGATTAGTTAGTTCCTATGGCCACGTGAAAATTTAATCATTTAATCAGTTTTGTTTAGAGAGTGGAATGAAAACTCACCCTTCTCCAGGTCAGGGAGTGATACTTGACATTCAGGTCCTTTGTTTCTATCTATATTTGCAGTTAAATGCCATCAATGCCACAACATCTGCACCACAATCGTCCTCTACTACAAACATTCACCAGAGACTTGAAGCTCGCCTTGATGACCGCCACAAATTATCTGTAGCTTCGTCTAATGACTCGAAACTGCTATTATCGACTGTAGGACAATCATCTGTTGGTTCCCTAGCTGACCTGTCTGCAGCTCAGAGAGTATGCTTTGCATCTGGTACTTGGAATACAGTTGTTTCTGAAAATTTTCGTTGTGGTTTATGACTGGATTTTATTTGCAGAGTGTTTCGAGCACCCAGGCTATGTCGGCCTCTTCACCTGGTTTCATGCGTCCTTCTCGCAGTGTCACCTCTACCAGTATCATTCTTATCATGATCATACTTCCTTTTGTTAGTTATCATGTGGAGCTGGGTTTTTCGACATATATTCCTGCACTGTTTTTTTTACAGCTATTCAACAATGCAGGGTTCGGCTCAGCATTGAACATTGAAACACTAGTAGCAGCTGCTGAGAGAAGAGAAACACCAATAGAGGTACAATATACAATTTATCTAGTTGTGAAGGGTGCATTTGGGAATTGAGAGAACAGATCCTTGGTGGTTATCTATATTGTCCGTCTGGACATTGAACAATTCTTATGATTGTAGAATCTCTTGACAACATGACCTAGTTCATTAATTAAGTTAGAGTGTTTCTGGATGTCCAAATCCCAATTGATCTTATGGATGACTTCAAACCTGATGTTGCGATTTTTCTGGCCTGTTAAATTTGCGATTTCACTTGTCTCTGCGTTGTGGTTGTAACTTGTGTCTTGCCTTAGTTGTATTAACATTCTTCCATTTCTGGTTTGTGAATAGCCATCAGCTGATAATAAGAATAGTCACCTGGGTATGATGTGTTTGCTTTTGTGAAGGTATTATTACCAGCGGTAAGCTCTTGTGATTCCGGCACTGATTTGCTCCTTTATGCTTGCAGGCTCCTGCTTCTGAAATTCAAGATAAAATATCATTCATTATTAACAATATTTCTACTGCCAATATTGACGTTAAAGGTAGAGAATTCAGTGAAGTTCTGATGGAACAATATTATCCCTGGTTTGCCCAGTATATGGTTATGAAAAGGTTAGGATCTCGGTTTTGTACTTACACAATATGTTTCCATTCTCATGATTTGCTGTTAAGTATAGCTTTGCAGTTGGTTTTCCTTACTCTATTTGTGTTTTTATCTTAATAGAGCTAGCATTGAGCCAAATTTCCATGACTTGTACTTGAAGTTTCTTGACAAAATTAATTTAAAGGCTCTGAATAGGGAGATCGTTCAGGCCACGTATGAAAATTGCAAGGTTAGTCTGATCTTAGTTATTTAAAACATGGGTCATTGACTTTCCGTCAAGTCAAGTATATAATTTGTATAAAATGTTTGCAATTTTAGGTTCTGTTAGGTTCAGAGCTTATAAAATCGAGTTCAGAGGAGCGTTCATTACTAAAGAACTTGGGAAGTTGGCTTGGGAAATTGACAATTGGCAGGAACCAGGTCTTAAGGGCCCGTGAGATAGATCCAAAATCTTTAATCGTAGAGGTAGGTCCTTTAATAAATCTGCTACATGCTTCATACCTACTTTGATTGGTCTTTAAATATGGTTGAAGCAACATGACCTTTTGGGGTGGTATATATCTTTTTTCTTTTCTCGACAGGCATATGAGAAAGGGTTAATGATTGCTGTTATTCCGTTCACATCAAAGGTACAATCATCTAGCAACACTAGCAGATGCTCTTGATTGCCATGATTGCAACTTTCATAACTTCCTTACTCCGATTGGTCTAGGTTCTTGAACCATGTCAAAGCAGTCTGGCATATCAGCCACCCAACCCTTGGACAATGGGAATCCTGAGCTTGCTTGCTGAGATTTATTCAATGCCGAATTTGAAAATGAATCTCAAGTTTGACATAGAGGTGAAATAGATTGCAAACCGCAATGTTTGTTTGTTCTTTAGGTTATACTTCATTAGTCAGTTGCTGACTCTTTCTTGACATTCCAGGTCCTATTTAAGAACCTTAGTGTAGACATGAAGGACATAACTCCTACTTCACTTCTGAAAGATAGGAAAAGGGAGATTGAAGGTAACCCTGATTTTTCTAACAAAGATGTTGGACCATCCCAACCTCAAATTGTCCCTGAGGTCAAATCTGTACTGGTATCTCCATTGAATCCTGGGGAGCTACCTCTCGAGGTTGCTAGCCCTCCTAGTTCTACATTGCTCCCTCAGGTTTGTTCATTTGGCTGTTTAATATCTTTCTTTTTATTTCTATGAGGTGTGCTACCTTTAGCTTGACATACATGATTTTGGTGCTCCTAGTTTGCGGCTCCAGTCCTCCTTTCTTCTGGCACAGTGATGGAGGAGGAGAAACTAGCTGGGTTGAGTTTGTCTGACCAGCTTCCTTCTGGACAAGCACTGTTCCAAGCTACTCCTTCACAGTCTCCATATGCTGTTAGTCAGGTCCAGTTGTGCTTTCTGCAACTACTTTCAGTGAGAAACATAAGTAATTTTAGTCTACTTATCAGCGAACTATTTTACTATTTGCAGCTTTCTACTGTGTCAATGGCCAACATTGCTCCACATGTTATCATTAACCATAAGCTTCAGGGCTGGAGTCTAAATTTGCATTTCCAAAGGTTTGAGAGGATTCATATAATGATTTTCATACTTGGTGAGTAAAGGACAATGCATTATATCCTAATTTAATCTCATTCACATGTTCAGAGTGGTTCCACATGCAATTGAAAGAGCTGTCAAGGACATTGTACCCAGTATTGTTCAGCGTAGTGTTTCTATTGCAACCCAGACTACGAAGGAGCTTGTTTTAAAGGTCTACCACCTGATCTTACTCATTGTGTTTCTTCTTTAGTTGGGGTTTCTTTGTGAGCTCTCATGTCTGATGTAACATGCAGTCAGTCTGTTTTTTAGCTTTCTTCTGTTATCTTATTAGCAACTTGCAGTCTTGGTCCTTTACTATTGCAAGCTGCTCCTAGGTCGTAGGTGTAACTTGCTCAATTTTGTTTTCTTCCTATGATAACTTATTGGATTGGTTGGCAGGACTATGCCATGGAAACTGATGAGACACGAATATACCATGCAGCACATCTTATGGTTGCTAGCCTGGCTGGAAGCCTAGCTCATGTTACCTGCAAGGTCTTGCCCTCACTTAGTCTTTCTATGTTATTCAATTGTTAGTTTATCCAACGTGGATTACTTTCAACTGCTGAGATTGATCATCAGCAATGCTAATTTTCCTTTAAGGAACCTCTACGTACTTCGATATCAAGCCAACTGAGGAGTTCACTTCATGGTTTGAATATCACAAATGAGCTCCTTGAACATGCCGTGCTGCTTGCTACCAATGATAACCTCGATTTGGGCTGTGCACTGATTGAACAAGCTGCTACAGAGAAGGTCCTTTTTTTATAAGTTTTTATCTGTTCCCTCTTTCCTTCCATTCCCTTGTGCTGAAGTTATTTATGTGATCCATTCATGGTCGCCCATTTCTGGTGATACATTGGAGATTGATCAATTTAAAATCAATTATCAATGTCAGCTGGTGACTATGGTGGATATATGTATTTGGACGAGTGTTTTGCGGAGGACTTTCTTGTATTCTAATGATTGAGTCTAGCGATGTGGTTTAGGTTATTTTTGTATTTGGGAACTGAGCTTGTTGTGATAATGCACAGTGCTATTGAATGCCAAATTTCTGATGCTTATCTTTTTTTCTTTTCTCATATACTGCAGGCAATACAAACTATTAATGGTGAAATAACTCAACAACTAAAGGAGAGAAGGAAACATAGGGACAGTGTTGGTCAAACATTATTTGAGACAAACATGTATACCCAGGCTTCCTTAGGTGTGGTACCTGAGGCCCTCCGTCCCAAGCCTGGGCATCTATCATTGTCTCAGCAGCGAGTTTACGAGGTATTCACTTATTTGTAATTTGCATTTACTTACATTTGGCAGTGGCTGATCCCTGGCCTTCAGCGTGTACTGGTGATAAAGTAAATGAAGTCTTGTCTTTTTTTTTTGGTTGCTTTCTGGTCGATTCAGGACTTTGTACGGCTTCCTTGGCAAAATCAATCTTCCCAGGGTTCACAATCTATTGCTGCTGGTAGCTCAACTTCTGCTGCTGCTGCCACCGGTGGTTTGGTAAGTGCCTATGGCTCTGTTGCGGGACAACTCAGCACAGGATATTCGTTGGGTGTTGGTGGGCTGGGATTTGAGGCTGCAGCTCAGGCGTTGGATTTGGGTTCTGAGGCAATTGACTCAAGTTCAGCAGCTTTGCTAAGGTATCTTTTTGTTTTATGTTAGGGGCTGCTCTTTTACTACCCACTCTTAAACAGGGACTGGTTACGGTGCTAATTGTACAAGAGTTAGCACCGTCCTAACCAAGGGTTAGTAGTGATTTAGCTTAGATGTTGTATTGATTTCATAATAATCCGTAGTGATTTCGTTGTTTTTAGTAGCGTTTTTTGCTAGTTATCACGGTGCTAACCCCCTATAAGGGTTAGCACCTAATCCCATCCCCTCTTAAACACGAGACTAATATTTATTTATTTATTTATTATTCCCTGGACGTGGTTCAGCTCTTCCTCAATAAATATCGAAGCAGATGCTGTTATGCGGAAAAATTCTGAGAAGAATGCCATAGCCTCTTCATTAACCGTTGCTGCTCCAGCCACTGAACCTCTCCTGGTAGATTCTTCTGACAATGTGAAGGTTAGACAACAACCCAGTGTTCGTATTTTTACTCTTTTTTTCCTCATGTGCTCAATCAGACCACTCTTCCTCTTTTAACATTTGGGACTACTCCGATTCTGAGGCCGCCCCTTGTATTTGTTTAGTGCATTGGTAGTAACATATTTTCATGTTTTGTAAAGGAATCTGGTGCTTCCTCTCAGCCAATCTCGTCATCCACTACTTCCGAGCGTGTAGGGAATAGTGTTTCTGAACCTTCCCTAAGTACAAGAGATGCACTGGATAAGTACCAAGTCATTGCCCAAAAGGTCCGTTTCTCCTAAATGTTTCAGTTTGTTGTCACCTGAGTCATTGCTTGGGCAAAAGATGGTTATGATGGTCTGGATCCATAACTTTTTTGGTTCATTAAATTTGTTCTAGTACAGTTACATTTTTATGCACATTAATTCCTCTTTAAATGGTTTCAGTTGGAGGCGTCTATCAGTAGTGATGGCAAAGATGCAGAGCTACAGGTTTCTTGTGTTTCTCCTTGTTTTCTGCTTGAATATTCTTGTTCTATGATAAGACTAGACTTCCATCTCTATTATCGTGTTCTTTCTACTATCACCTTTTGATCTAGTAACGTTTAGCGCAAGCTCCTGCTTTCCCCCCCTTTGTCCTCGTACCTGCTCAGGGAGTGATTGCTGAGGTGCCTGAGATCATACTTCGCTGCATCAGTAGAGATGAAGCTGCCTTAGCTGTTGCTCAAAAGGTTTGTTTTGTTTTGGTTGTTTTGCCATCTATTGATTCAAATGTACGGCTGTTACTGCATGTTCTCAGGCTCCTTTCGCAATTTTGCTTACGTTGTATTTTTTGTGCAGGTTTTCAAGGGCTTGTATGAGAATGCCTCTAGTTCTTTTCATGTTTTTGCTTGTCTTGCAATTTTGGCTGCGATTCGTGACGTTTGCAAGCTTGTGGTCAAAGAACTCACAAGCTGGGTATGTCTGCTGGCCCTTCTAATCTTTTTGATTATGCTCTAGTGTATACGGCTGAATTATTTGGGCATGTGTTTAGTCATTTTGTTTGTTGACTTGGCCAAGTCACATGTGCGAACATTGTTTTATTGTTCATTTTTTTATTGTAGTTCCCAGACATAATTATTGTTCAATACATTTTCCCAGGTCATTTACTCGGATGAGGAGCGGAAGTTCAATAAAGATATCACTATGGGTCTTATACGGAGTGAATTGCTCAATCTTGCTGAGTACAATGTTCATATGGCAAAGCTTATTGATGGTGGAAGGAATAGTATGGTCTCAGGATCACGTTGTTTTGATTTGTTGTTGTTGTTGATATTGATATTGCTATTAACTACTTCAACTTAATTGCAGAGGCTGCAACAGAATTCTCTGTTTCACTTATCCAGGCTTTGGTTGTAGATGAATACAATATCATCTCTGAACTCCATAATCTTGTTGAAGCATTGGCAAAGGTTTGTTCATTTCTCTGTTTGTTAGATTGTCTGGTGCACAGTGATTTCTTAATGATTTTGGCATGCAGATTGCTACAAAACCTGGATCTCCTGAGTCGCTGCAACAGCTTATTGAAATTGTGAAGAATCCTACAGCTAATGCCGCTGCTATATCAGCTTTTGCTGTTGGTAAAGATGATAAAACGAGACAGAAAAAGGTCAGTGTTAAATTGGTGAGCTCATGCTCTCTCCCCCAATGGAATTATCTGAAGTTATATCTGGCCGTTTCTAGCAGGCTCCCAGTCAGTCTTCAATTAGCCGTGAAGACTTTAATAACGTGGAGTCTGTGGAACCTGACCCTGCTGGATTCCGGGACCAGGTGTGTTGAGCTCGATATTAATTTGATCGATTTACATGTGGTTTCTGATTTGGCCAAAAGGTATTTTTTATTCATAGCATGTACCTATTTCTGTCAGTTTTTGTCTTTGACCACTGATACTGGTTGTAGGTTACTGCTCTATTCCGTGAATGGTACCGGATATGTGAACTACCAGGCTCGAATGATACTACATATAACCATTACCTCTTACAACTGCGCCAGAATGGGTTCCTCAAGGGTGACGATTTGACCGACCGGTTTTTCCGCATTCTTATGGTGATCTATCTTTGACGATTTTTCTATCTCGTTACTGGTGGCTCACTAGACATAGCAATTTAAAGGGTCCCAAGCTTACTTCACTGTGGTGTTATTAGGAACTCTCGGTGGACCATTGTCTTTCTTCTGAGTTGGTGAATTCAGCTGGGATGCAAGTGCCTCAAAAGGGGCAGAGTATGTCGTTCCTTGCCATTGATATATTTGCAAAACTTGTGTTTGCAATTCTGAAGGTAACCGTTGTCTCTTGTTAGGCGCCCCTTGCTTTTCTTTTCCTCTTTTGTATTCTTCTAAGAATTGCTAGTGTTGTCAGGCCGAGCAGGGATCTAATAAACAGTTTCTTCTGTCAAAGGTAAGTAGGGCGAACCTTTTTTTTATATCCAGTTTCGCGACTCCAAATTCAATATTTGTCTTACACATTATGGTGTGCAGATGTTGGCTGTTACTGTAAGATATATACTGAAGGACTCTGAGAAGAAACCGTCTTTTAATCCAAGGCCATATTTCAGATTGTTTATAAACTTATTGCTAGACCTTGTTTCTCTTGAGCCTGTAAATGATGGAGGAACTTTTCAGGTATATCCTTTTGCTTTTTGTTATCATTGTTATCTTTTGCTCTCCTCTTCTTTTTTGTTATTCATCTCTCATGAAAGTCCTTTGATCTACTTTTAGCTTGTTATCATTTATTGCCAACCACATTGTCTAAAGAGATATTGGCTTTCTGTGCAGATGTTGACTTCCTTTGCTCAGGCGTTCCATCTTTTGCAACCTCTTAAAATTCCTACGTTCAGGTAACACATTTCAGTGACTTCTCAAGAGATACATGTCCTTCGAGCAGGTTCTACAATTAGTGTCGCGACCTGTTAAAAGTTCACTATGTTTTTTTGTCTTGAAGATGGAGTTGATCCTTTACCTTCTAAATATAGCTGGCTTTTCTTGAGTTATTATTTAGAGGTACCCATACAGCCTAAGCAAATTGGAATCTGTTCCTTGGTTGGACCCGCTGACCCTGGTAGTCTACAGCCTGTTCTAATCTGCTGCACTTGTTGTACCCAACTCTAATATAGGCCAAGTTCATTGGGCAATTGTCTGCAATGAGGTTCTAAACCTGAAGTACATGCCATTTTTATACTGTCTTGATGAGCAACAGGGCGGCAGGCATAATCTCTGTTCATACTGTAGACAACCCCTCTAAAACGTGAAAAGAACTTTGTTCGTTCTTTGTTTTTCATTATGTGCAAGTAGAGTGATTGCCTGTCAAGCCAATCAATCCTGTTTATGATCTTCAGCTATGCGTGGCTCGAGCTAGTAAGTCACCGGAGCTTCATGCCAAAATTACTTACTGGAAATGCTCAAAAGGGATGGTCCTATGTTCAACGGTTGCTGGTAGATCTGTTTCAGTTCCTAGAGCCTTTTTTAAGAAATGCTGAATTACGAGGACCAGTATGCACTCCGAACACTGTTGATTTTCTTTTTGCAGTAAACCTTTTTGAGTCTAAATTGACTTTCCTTCTGTATATTTCCTTTTTTCTTATTTCTTGCAGATCTCCTTTCTCTACAAAGGTACACTTAGAGTGCTACTGGTTCTACTGCACGATTTTCCTGAGTTCCTGTGTGACTATCATTTCACCTTCTGTGATGTCATACCTTCGAGTTGCATACAAATGCGCAATATCATTCTCAGTGCGTTTCCTCGCAATATGAGACTTCCAGATCCGTCCACTCCAAATTTAAAGGTTCTGTTTGATGGAAGCAAATGTTGAAAATGTGGAGCAATTTGGGGCAATTTTTGTCTTGTTATTGAAGCTGCATTTTCTTGGTCAACAGATTGATTTGCTTCCTGAAATTAGAGAACCACCGCACATCCTATCTGAAGTTGACGCTGCCCTTAGAGCAAAGAACATGAAGGCTGATGTGGACGAGTATCTGAAGGTAACCTGATTTGCTGATCATCATAACTGCTTTAGCTATTTGCTTCAATTTCCTTTTGGGTGCCGTGGTGGAACTGTTGTTTGCATGCTTCTTGCAGACAAGACAACAGGGTTCCTCATTCCTCACCAACTTGAAGCAGAGGTTACTTCTTGTGCCAAGTGATGCTTCAACTGCTGGGTCTCATTACAATGTATCACTTATAAATTCGCTCGTACTTTATACGGGGATGCAGGTATGTTCTTAGGTGGTTTTTCTAAATTGTGGCATTTGCTGCTTTAGGACTTACTGGATCGATGCCTGTGTTTTTTCTTTTGCTAAGGGAGCTAATTGTTGTATTCAGGCCATTCAGCAGCTCCAGGTGAGAACACCCCATGCACAGGCCCCTGGGAATACCGGCCCTCTTGGTTTCTTAGTGGATGCTGCTTTGGATATTTACCAGACCCTAGTAGTTGAGCTAGACAATGAAGGTCGATACCTCTTCCTCAATGCCGTTGCTAACCAACTACGCTATCCCAACAACCACACACATTACTTCTCCTTCGTCTTGCTCTACTTATTTGCCGAGTCAAATCAGGTGGGTATTCCTGATTAGTTACTTGATACTAGTTTTTTCTTGCATCTATCTTCATGATCCCCTTGGGCCTTAAACTTAAAGAATGAAATGTATCTTATGAAATATACAGGAAATTATCCAGGAGCAGATTACCAGAGTCCTGTTGGAACGCCTGATTGTTAACAGGCCCCATCCATGGGGCCTTTTGATAACTTTCATTGAGCTAATCAAGGTAATTCTTGTTCATGGACTGCTTTAACAATCCTCTATTTTTTTTTCCGGTTCAACTTCCAGTCTTTAACTGGACTTAACTCCGCATTTGGGGGCAATTACAATTTGGTTAAAATTACATATGCAGAATCCGAGGTACGGTTTTTGGAACCGTACTTTCATAAGATGTGCTCCGGAGATTGAGAAGCTGTTTGAGTCGGTTGCAAGATCTTGTGGGGGTTTGAAGCCGATGGACGAGAGTATGGTCTCTGGTACTAATTGGGCTTCCGAGGGATCACACTGAGAAATGCTTGGTCCTTATCTTGTGCATATGTAGCAGAAAATTCCTGTAGGTGATTTTTCTTCTTTGAATTGGAGAGGGCACTGATACTGTTGCTCTTGAGAGAAACCCTTGGCTTTTGTCATGGAAATTGGGTAGGATTGAAGAAGCCGTATTTGTGTTGATATAAAGGGTTAACAACTCTGTATAGAATGCTAGTTGACATTTGTTTCTGTACAAATGGCGGCGCTATCAGTTTTGTTTCCTCTGTTTATTTTAGGCAAAATTCACTTCCATAGCCATAACTTTGCACTTTGTGACAAATATAGCCAGATTCTGAGAAATACACAAATATAGCCATTCCGTCCATTAATGTAACGGAAATATAACGATTGCTGACTGGACAAACCGTCATATTTGACCGCGTTTAATTTGGACTATGTGGCATGCCATGGTGGAAAATGAAATTATTTATATTTATTATGCTAAATAAAAAGATGAAAAAAAAAGAAAAAAAATTCATCTCTCCGCCCCTTCTTCATCTATCCTCCAACTCCCCCAAACCCCTTTCATCTACCACCACACAAAACTTCAATCTGCCAAAAATCTCGATCTCCAAAAGCTTCCTCTCCTCCTCCGCCGTATTTGTCGCCGCCGCCAAAGCCGTCCTCCGCCTCCTCACACTCCTCCCTCAAGCCCCACCACAGAAACTAACCTTCAGATCCAGATGATTCTCAGTCACCAAATTCACCGCCGTCGTCGTTGAAGCAGAGAAGTAGAGGAAGAAGGCAGCATCGAGCAAGGGGGAGAACGAACCTCATCTTTGCTAACCCACTTTATCAACTGGGATCTGATGAGGGAGAGAACGAGCGGATTGCTCCTCCGATTGAAAGGGCAGAGCTCTTTCTGGGAATCGCCATTGAAAGGGCAGAGCTCTGAGCTCTGAATTCGCGAGATCTGGAAAGTTGAAGACAGAGCAGCCCCTTTTGAAAGATTTTAGAAGACAGAGCAGCAACAGAGTTGTGTGGAGGGAGACGACGGCGCTTGTGCAGGGAGCTAGTGTTAGGGTTCGTCGATTGTGAGGAGATTATGCAGAGTTCGTCGATCGAGAGGGATAGCTCCTAAAAATCCAATTTTAGGGTTGTCGATTGTGTGGGGATTGTGCGCCAAGGTTAACTCCACCTCATCGTCTTCTCTCTCTCTCGCTCTCTCTCTCTCTCTCTCTCTCTCTCTCTCTCTCGCAGCTGATCGTGATAGCGAAGGAGAGATGTTGCGCCAGTGAAGACGGTGGATGAGTCTTCAAATTTGAGTGGCAGAATGAGAAGTGTGGCGGCCGGAAAGACAGGCGAGGGAAGCGATTTTGTGATTTACAGGAGGGATTTGGGGAGAATGTTACAGGCTAGGGCAGCGATTTAGTGATTTGAGTGAGCGTCTCTGTTTCTCTCCACCATGGATCTGGGTTTGGGGAGAATGTTACGGCAGTGGCGAGGAGGGATTTGCATATCCTTTTTTTTCGTTTTTTTTTTCATGTAATTATGATAAGAAGCGGAAAGAATGGATATTAAAAATCTCCATTTGAAATTTTTATGTTTTTTTATTTGAAAATGTGATGTGGCGATTATGTGGCAGTGAGGGGTCTATGTGGGCATGACGTGGCCGTGACATGGCAGCCACATCAGAATGACATCCTTTTAACTAACGGAATTATTGACGCCGTCAAATTATTTAACGGAAATGGCTATATTAGTCAAGCAAGTTTACAAAATGTGGCTATATTTGTGTATTTCTCAGAATCTGGCTATATTTGTCACAAAGTGCAAAGTTATGGCTATGAAAGTGAATTTTGCCTTTATTTTAAACGTAAATTAGATATGTTCGCTCGTTTGCGTTTCGCGGCTAATTGAAGGTAGCACGTCATATGAGTAGCTAAGAAAGAATTAGTAAAATATAACATATGTGACATAGCTTGCCTCTAAGAACGGAAGAAAAATCATAAGATGTGGGAGAGGTTGGTAGTAATATGGACTCACTGGCAAATGAAGTTATAAATTAGAGAATATTGATTTACATATTTGGAACGCGAGAACTGTTATATTTATGAAGTTTGTACATTTGAAATGAAAGAATAAAACAATAGAAAGGGTCAGTGGGGATTGCTTTTGATGGGGCGATTTCTACTGGGTCGCATGGGTCAGTGGGGATTGTTCTGCAGGATGAGGCCGGTGGGATCCTAATGGCAAGGGGGTCGTGTCTCCCCGGTATGGTTGATCCGATGTTGATGGAGGCAATGGCTCTTCGAGATGCACTGTGCTGGTGTGCGGAGGCTGGTCTTTCGGCAGTCCAGTTTGTCGGCGATGCGAAGGTGGTGATTGACAAAGTTAATGGGGGGACTGTTAGGGACGCGAAGGCCGGGGCTATCCTTCAGGAAATCTGTCGGCTGCTGGGAGCTAATGCTGGGTTTAGAGTGATGTTTGTAGGTAGACAGAACAATAGGGTGACCCATTTGGTGGCCAAAAAAGCCCTCGATTTGTTTCCTACGGGATGGAATGGTTTTGATTTTCGAGCGTGGTTGTGCTCGGAAATTGGTTTCATGTAACTCTTTTGTCTTGTTAATGCAAGTATCTTTTCGAAAAAAAAAAAACAATAGAAAGAAAAACGACGGAAAAATGTAATGGCGGCAAAGTTTTTCCTTATCACTGCCTTTTCCCAATCCTTATCTTTAACCATAAACCAGAAGCGAGGTGGGGTGGACGCGTGCAATCCGCGACGGACAACTCTTTTCCTTTTACCGCGGTCAGCGGGCTACGATCAGGTGATTAGGGGGGTCCCTTAGTCACATGACTAAGTCGATCTCAGCCATTGAGCTTTATTAAAATTTAGGGTAAATACAATATATTATCCATAACTATTAAGTAGCGGGAATTATAGCCACAATTATCGAAATACAAATTATTAGCCATAACTATTGTTGTGAGTCAAGATTTGGCTAACAGCCCGTTACTGTTTTCAAATTTTTAACGTAGAAGGCCATGTCAGCATCGTAAAAAATATGATATGATGACTGCCACGTGGAGCCAGCTCACCATCGTAAAAGTTTAGTCATCATTACTAACAGAAATGTTAACGAAAACTTAACGATTGGCTAATAATTTGTATTTCGATAGTTGTGGCTATAATTTCCCGCTGCTTGATAGTTATGGCTAATATATTGTATTTGCCCTAAAATTTAATGGTTGTAATTGATCTCATTTAATGAAGGGTAATGTAGTAATTACAAATTTATTTAATTGTTAATTATTAAATAAAAAAAACTTTCGCTCGATCGTCTTTCCCTGTAGGATTCAGGCGATCGTCACCTCCGGCGCCGGTTGGGTTTACAGTAGGATTTTCTCCATTTTTATTCGGGCGGCGGCGATCGTCTTATTACACTGGTGGCCATGGGATTTTCATCCCTTTCCCCAACACCATTTGTTGTTTTTTGCGGCCGTTTTTTCCCAAGGGAGGGTGGCAATTTTTCCCTTTTTGCCCAGGGAATTATCCCAGGGCGGGAGGGAGGGAGGGAGAGAGAGTTTTTCAGCGACCAGAGGACATTTCCCGTGACAGTTTTGTAATGTTTGCTGACCTATTTTGTAATGTTTGTATAGATTCAGTTTGTATTGTTTGTGACATTTTGTACGATTAGTATGCTTTGTACTGTTTGTCGGTTTTATTTTGTAATTACAAAATGTCACAAACAATTCATTTATAAGGGATTGTTTTAAAATCGCTCGCAAATCACTCTCTACAAACCTGCATCCAAACCACCCTAAGTATTTTGTCATTATACTACTAGTTGTGAACTCGTCGGCAAGTGACTTTCTTTTATCATTCATTTTATAATAATCAATTTATTTTAATTATTTCTCCATTTTTTATTATAAAATTATATATATTTCACAAAATAGTTATGGTCTTTAGCAAATTTTTTTAACAAAAGGTAATCATATTGATTGATAAAAAAATCAAGGATTACATCCTGGGCTCAAACCAGGCATGAAAGTCATACAATCGATACGCAACCGAAGACAAAGAAAGTGTCTTCCTAATCCTAGCCACTAAATAGGCTACCCTATTGATACTCCGACCCACAACCGAACACAAAATTGAAATTATGAGTTATGAAGTTTCATTTCAACTTAAAGTTTATCTATGAAAATACTAAAACTCATATGTTAAAAGAAAAAAACATTGCAACTAATTATCCCTCTATAATATATAGCAGTACTTCAGGAGATTTTGAGAATTTCAAATTCCTTGCACTCTCCTTAATTGTAGCTAGGGGTAAATTTGTAAGTTCAACTTAGAACTTAAATATCTTCTTACGAGAAAAAAAATATCATTACAAAGACTTGAACTCAAGTCCTTCAGATTTACAATCAATATCCATAACCAACTGGACTACAACAATGTTTATGTATTTTTTGAATTCAAGAGAGAAAATACTAAAATATCTCAAAATATAGGACTATCCACCGCAACAATCAATTATCGAATTAATTAATAACTGTAATTATTTACAAAGTGAATCATCATGATATACCTAGCTTTATGAATCAACTAAGTGAGTTCCTCTAATCACACAATTCTTCACCAAGAATCAAATAGTACATTTTGAGTTTATGTATGTCTTACAACTTTTCATTTATTAGCTTACATGACTTTGTAGTTTGTAGGAATACAAGGATTGTTTACAAAAGTGCTATACAAAATTTTATTTCAAAAACATAAAATTTGACTTTTGTGATCTATGGTTTTGTAGACATTTTCAATGCTATAAGTGAATGACCAAAAATCATTGGCTAACAATTTCCCTAATGGTTGAAAATTATAAGCATAGAATTGAAAGACTAAATACCATTGAAAAATGAGCCCATTATCATTGGCTAAATTTAACAAACAATGATATGTGTATATACATTGGAAATTCTATGGTACGCTCGATGGATTGAGGTTTATTGCATCTCCTTAGTTAAATAACATTAGATTAATCACGTAACTAAATCCTATATCATAATTATCTAAAATCCTAATATAGTGCATATGGTATGTTGTATACATCTTGGTGAATCAGAATCATTGATTATGTTCTTAGTATATGTGATATTAGGGTTTAAGTTCTATAGATTTAGGGTATATGATTTAATTATTTGAAACTTAATCTCTCTTTTCAAATTTCCTGCAATGAAAGGGAAATTAGGAAGGACATTTTTATCTTCACAATTATCTGTATTTTTTATTTATTTACAGAAAAAGATAAACATATTGAGATTTGAACCATGGTCACTT